CGCATAACTAACTGAGCTTGTATGTGTAACATTAATACTTTTATCAGCCCATCCAGTATTTCGTGGGATTTTTCTCTGATTTTTGCGGCCTACGATGACTGATTTTGCGACGGCTTTACTCTAAATTTGCGGCAATATTTACGGTATTTCTTGTGGTGTTTTGCAGTGAAAAATCATTAGAAACGTGTTAAAATGTATCAAATAATGATACAACAGTGTTTTGAGGAACTTTTATTTGTTCATCTTGCAATAATTGTTGGCATACTGAATTGCATAATGTTATAATTCACATTTTGGCCATATAAATAATAAATGCACCAAGTTGCTAGTTTTGCTCAGTTTGGATGTCACTCAGAGCGTGTGTGTGTGTGTGAGTGTCTCTGTGTGTGTGAGTGTGTGTGTGTGTGTGTGAGTGTCTCTGTGTGTGTGAGTGTCTCTGTGTGTGTGTGTGTGTGTGTGTGAGTGTCTCTGTGTGTGTGAGTGTGTGTGTGTGTGTGTGAGTGTCTCTGTGTGTGTGAGTGTGTGTGTGTGTGTGTGAGTGTCTCTGTGTGTGTGAGTGTGTGTGTGTGTGTGTGAGTGTCTCTGTGTGTGTGAGTGTGTGTGTGTGTGTGTGAGTGTCTCTGTGTGTGTGAGTGTGTGTGTGTGTGTGTGAGTGTCTCTGTGTGTGTGAGTGTGTGTGTGTGTGTGTGAGTGTCTCTGTGTGTGTGAGTGTGTGTGTGTGTGTGTGAGTGTCTCTGTGTGTGTGAGTGTGTGTGTGTGTGTGTGAGTGTCTCTGTGTGTGTGAGTGTGTGTGTGTGTGTGTGAGTGTCTCTGTGTGTGTGAGTGTGTGTGTGTGTGTGTGAGTGTCTCTGTGTGTGTGAGTGTGTGTGTGTGTGTGTGAGTGTCTCTGTGTGTGTGAGTGTGTGTGTGTGTGTGTGAGTGTCTCTGTGTGTGTGAGTGTGTGTGTGTGTGTGTGAGTGTCTCTGTGTGTGTGAGTGTGTGTGTGTGTGTGTGAGTGTCTCTGTGTGTGTGAGTGTGTGTGTGTGTGTGTGAGTGTCTCTGTGTGTGTGAGTGTCTCTGAGTGTCTCTGTGTGTGTGTGTCTCTGTGAGTGTGTGTCAAGTGTAACTTGAGTGACTTGCAAATGGAAATCTCTGCTCACTCTCTTTGAATGTTATTTTCAATGTAAACTATGTGGGCTTTAGTAAGTGGCAAGATGGAGCTGAATATTTTAAATATTATATATTCTAAATATATTACATTTAAAAATATTTAACGCCAGTAACCTTGTTAGAACTTCACCAGTTTTGTGAACATTGTGTGTGTAAACATTTGAAGTGATTTTCTGTTTGTCTACTCCCCCCTAGTGGTAAAACTATTTTTTTCATTCTCCTAGTGTCAGCAGAAAGGGGAGTCCTCACAACATGCTGTGTAGTCATGGTCCTCATGAGTATAGCAAAACACATATGTGTGTCTGTGTGTGTGTCTGTGTGTGTGAGTGTCTCTCTGTGTGTGTGTGTGTGTGTGTGTGTGTGTGTGTGTGTGTGTGTGT